AATGTCCTGTCTCCGTATCGTGTCAGCCCCTTTAGCTGTAACATGTAACGAGAGATGCTACCGCACACCCATAACTCTTCGACTAGGTCCTTTCCAACAAACACTTACTTGCGACTAGCTGTTCTTCTTTGTTATCCTGCCTTGGCAGATGAGAAACCCTTTTCTGTCGTTGGCCAGATCCAAATGAGTCGGTCAGAAAGATGCGCCCTATGGCCACGCTGTGTACACCGGCGATAATCGCCGGATATACATCTACGGCTGTGCTGGGTCGGCGTGGGCGGCGATATGCAACTGCCCTTCGATATGCTGATCCGTATAAATGATACCCTATATCGAATGGTCTATGGTGTTGTCTGGCTGTTCACCGTCTTTCATACAAGAGTAACCTTTCCGGTGAGCTGGTAGTGACAATCTGTATAGGATTGGTAGAAGGAGAACAAAGTAGATGACGCTATATCAGATAGGTCTGTCGCAGGGAGTAATCCGCCTCGAACAAGCTACAAGTATGTATCGATTGAGAAGACGATACTCCTAAATGGCCCCGAAGGGTTATGTTGACCAGGAACGCGAAGGGCACAAAAAGGCGATCAACTTATCCCCTATATCAGGATGGAATCGACCTGTCGAGGCCGATAACGACCCTGATGTTTGGAGTTGTCGTATTCCGGCAATGGCGCGAAACAAGAACCAATGCTCAATGCTCATTAACACCAACGGTTAGGGCGGAATGGGGTTCGTGTTTTTGTCATTGTCCTCTACAGTGTTAGTGCGATTAAAGAAAGCGGCTGCACGTATAAGAAAATATGGCGTGGAGGGGTTCGATCATGCCACTTAGGTATTTGTTGATTGGACGAGGAACATTGACATTCTGACTGATCTGGGGTGCATTATATATCTTATGGTATATTGTGTGGTTAGCAGAAGCTGGAATACACTTGCGAAACCGGGATACAGACTGGCAAGCAGATTGTTACTTAATCTCATCCATTATGCAGTTCCTGAAAGAAGTTTTAGTGACAAGCGGAGGCTAGCAATTGTCAGATCTGTGCATGACTTTTAAATCACAAGACTGCACGCCAGGAGTTATGCCAAATGAAGTCTGAAATTCTTTTTATTTCCATCAATTACGTTTTGTATTTGTTTTTCCAGTATGTTTTTAATTATTTGTCGTATTTGCAGCATGTGTAAGTCACCTTTATGAGAAATTAGAACTAAAATGCATAAGGATTCATTGTTTCTTTTGTCTCTTTTTTTTGTATCATAGTTTTATATCATCAGCGCCAGTCGGACGTAAACGCCGCGTCTAGGCAAACGTTTCAGTACGAGCTGTCAAGAGTGAACCATACTATCGAAACCCCTACCACAAAAAATAGGGTTCTCGATCGAGATTTGAATTGCTATGACCAAAGCGAGAACAAACAAATGCTCTGCTTCGTTTCTTTACGCATATACAATTATGCATCCGAGAAATGTCCAAGAACATTTTATAAATGTGATATATTTATAGGCCAACTCTCTCAGAATTAGTCTGCCTTCCCAAATGCCAAAAAGAAACGGGGTCCTGCGACCGAACCCTCCTTTGATATGTCGATGAATCCGGACGCGAGCTGTTCCGAAAGGTAAGCTTCCTTTATTCCCTTGGGACAGCGCAATACCCTCTCAAACCATTTTCTTGTCGTATATACATAAGGGTTAAAGGCCAACCAAGAAATTGACGCAGAGGGAATGAGTTGTATTACGGAATCGGTTCCGGATCAGGTCAGATCTGACACACAACTCAGGTAATACTGTCATTTGCGGGAACTGCTTTTGTTATTATTCGCAACAGTCCGAGTAATCGGCCGTTAGCCGGATCCCACACGCGTCTTCGGCAGACCTGATCTTCCATCCGGCTCTGAGGCCGCTTCAGGTGAAAATGTATCTCCATATACCTGCATACGCGATAAGGTACTTTCAAGGCGTATACCCGTCGAAGGGGGTAGATAAACGGCATAAATAAGCTTTAGTAAAGCTAAACAGCTGTAGAGAGGGAGAGAAATTCAGGGTAAAGGTTTGTCTTAAACAGTCGATTCTAGCGACGTCGCTATCCTAAATGTTCCTGTCATCGTGACTGGACTGATAACAATTTATATTGCTGCTTTAAGAAAACAGCGGGAGATTTTAGGTTACAGTCACTCGGTGCTCGGTGCGCCAGCCGTTAATTTGTCTCTCCAACTAGGTAGATAGAAAGGAAGGAGCAGACCTCCAGGTTAGAACCTCTGTACTATTTAGATAGCGTCCAGGAATAACTTAGGGGGAGATTATGTGAAACTATAGATGCATGAATATAACCGGGAAGCTTTGACGTCGAAGCAACTCCAAGCAAAATAGAACAGGTTCAACACAAGTCTTCCCAGTCATTTTCGTATAGTGTACGTACGTACGTAAAAGTCATCTCTCATTATTATAATAGTTACTCTTACTAATCTTATTAATAATTAGTATTGATAAAGCTAGTCCAATTACAATATCGTGCGGCTCAAGGTATTTAGTAGCGCATTATTATAATTCTGTCAAGGTCCCCAATTCTGACAAAGATGGCAGACATCGATGGTGTTCCACTAGCGATTCGAAATTATTCGAATTTATTTTTCCTGTTTTGTTTCATCGAAAACCAGCTTTGTAAATGCGTGCAAACTTATGAGCCAGTCTATCTTTTCTTCACTAGCATGCATCATAGCTACAAACAGGAGACGTTAATTTTTTAATAAGGAAGATTATGCTTATTATCACCCATTAAGTTACAGCCTAGATCTGCGATTTCGTCATTCAGAGTAACTGCTACGGCATCCAGCCGGAGCGTTCATTAAGGCATTAAACAGTTCGGGCTACAGCGCTATTGGAACAAAGCAAAAAAGATTTACAAAAAATCAATTCGGCCTCCCCGCCGTATTAATACGTTGGTAATATATATGTTGAAAATATATTTTGCTGTATTGCACACTGTGTTTTTAGCTCTATTCTTCAAGTTCAATTTTAGTTTGTCAGTAAGTTGCCTAACAGAAACAAAGTGAAACTTACGTGATTTCTTTTTGTCAGAAATAAGAAAAATACAACAAACCATAATATCAGTCGAATCACAAGGGCTCCGCTAAATTTCCTCTACCATTTGAATGACGTTATATCTATACGCAGCCGTCAATACGTATGTTGCTGCATGTGGTTCTTTGGCGCAGGTCTCGCATGTCGACCATCGTAGCCTGTTAGATTCACAGGTTATGTTAGGTTTTTGGTCTTTAGCTAATCCATGGGTGTTAGAAGTACCTCGTAGATTTCGGCTTCGAAGTTTTTTTAACTTCACTGCTGCGCGGACTCAGCTTCGTACATACACAGCCTCTGCATCCTTCCATTGACATCACTGGCATTTAGTAACATTCTTCGTTTTTCTTTCTTAGGAGACATCACTTGGCCTTTAAGGTCCTGATATGTTAGGTCATGGCTGTCCTTCTCGCTGCGTTATGACAAACAATTTCGCAAATATCTAATTCGAACATGCGATTCATGATGAACTAACTAAATCCAGTAGTCATCAAAAGACATCGGTTATCACTGGCCTATGTAAATGCACACGGAGCACTCTTTCCTGTGACTTTCAAAGCCATCGACAAGGTCTTGCATTTAGAGCACCAATCAACCTAACCTAACCTAACCAAGTTGTCTTGATTAGCCGACCGATAATTAATGCTCGAACCCCAGTAACTACTTTGTGTTGACCTTATTTCACTTACTGAACGTACTTGTAATAGCTGCTGAATGAAACTTCATGCAACTAACTGGAATAAATTGGCTGGATTAAAAACGCAGACAAGCTTGCTTCGCGCAGTAGCCATATCAACCCAGCCTCAAATTTGCGTGCTCACGAACCTCCATTAATTAAGTCTTATATTAGTATTGTTTGAATTATTGTACATTATTGTACTAACTACTATATATATATATATATATATATA